TCCAAAAGGATTTTTCTCATCTATCTGAAAGAAAACAAAATAAAGCAATAGAGCAAGGCGAAACAAAACAATTCTAGCCCCAATAAGTTTCTGACCTAGATTTAAAATGAAGTTAATTATCGGTCAGCTGAGATAGTTATATAATTATTATGGTTATATAGAGATATGCACATGTATAGTTATGGAGTTAGATGTCTGAAATCTTAATTCTAGTCGTTCATAACTCTAGAGTCATGCTGATAAACAACCATTAGTACTATTTGTTGATGGGAGGCAGAGTTGGCTATTTGCCCTAGAAAGACTATTCATTCCTGTGTACAGAAACTCAGAGAAATGTGTATATGGGTATGCACGTGTCTGTATATATTACACTACCTTCTGTGAGTCAAACACTGATCCTTCCATTATAGAGGCTACTTTCTGTTGTGGAGAGAATGATAGACAGTAACAAAATAAGGGGAAACGGATGAAAGAGACCAACTGTGGAAATAGTTTGTTTATTTAGGGTGAGGTTAGGGAGAACACTTGAATGAAGTGACATCTGTGTAGACTTTATAAAGTGAATGTATAAGTTCTGCAGATACCTGGAGAAAGTCAGGGCTTGCAATAAATAGCTTGGGACATGGGATCATGTTAAACTATCTTCAAGCTCTGATTCCATTTTTTAATTAACTCTCTGATACCTGAAACAATTGCTTAAGTTATGTGAATATTAACATACCTCAATCAAAAACTGTGATATGAATATCTGTTTTAAATGTTCGTATAATGATTAAAAATTATAAATATGTTAAGTGACAAACACAGCTCCTGAATATAGTAAACATGTCAGTTCTACTGCATTTTAATGTATTCTGCATATTTTATTTAAGCTGCTTTAGAGTTTTGCAATATCAAATATAACTATTTTTCTTTTTCTTTCATTTTTCATCAATTTATTCAGCATTAATCTTCAACACTATCTAAGTGGGCCAGGCACTTTTTTTTTTTTTTTTTTTTTTTTTTTTTTTTTTTTTTTTTGAGATGGAGTCTCGCTCTTGTCGCCCAGGTAGGAGTGCGGTGGCACGATCTTGGCTCACTACAATGTCCTCCTCCTCCTGGGTTCAAGCGATTCTCGTTACTCAGCCTCCCAAGTAGCTGGGATTACAGGTGCCCGCGACCATGCCCAGCTGATATTTGTATTTTTAGTAGAGACGGGGTTTCCCCAGGTTGGCCAGGCTGGTCTCAAACACTGTACCTCAGGTGATCCACCCGCCTCAGCCTCCCAAAGTGCTGGGATTACAGGCGCGAGCCACCGAGCCCGGCCGGGCCAAGCAGTTTTTAAAAACACACGCCTTATAGACATTTACAGCAGAACCCTGGAACTGCTTATATTTTCTGTCCAGCACACCCAACGTTGGCACATTTACAATTCATGTTATCAGGAACTTATTTATGTTTATACACAGCCACTGGCACTTTGCACAATACATATTGGTCCTTCAGACCAACGCATGGCATCAGCATAAATATTTTCAGAAGCAAATATTATTTTGAAGGTGTTTTTGTCCATACATTAAATCTCCACCTTTTGGTCTCATTATATATTACAAAAATTGCCTTGAGTTATTTGACAAATTGCTTCATTCTATATGTTCTGGAGCGGTTTGATTATTGCTTACATTTTCTCAATAGCACTTTTTTGATGGAAAAAGTAGGGAGCAAAGAGAAAGCAAAAAGTGGCTCAGCTGTCTTAAGATGGTAAAAAGCAGACGGATATGGTCAAAATTAGAGTGGGATAAATTTAGCATCTTCCACACTGCATTATTGTTTATCACTCTTTTGTTTTCTTATTTTTACAGCACTAGCAAAATGTCATCTAGATAACTCTCATATTATTACAGAATAAGGAAACCCATCATTTATATTGTCACTATGTACAAACAATTTAGAAAGTATAGTCTTATGATATTCACACATTCATAGATTATACAGGCTCATAGTATGGAGTTTGAGAAGAACACTTTTGGAAAACAAAAATGACAGGATATACAAAATGTCCATGACCTCGAACCTACTAATTTTGTCTGGAAACTTATCTTTAAAAATAGTTTTAAATATAAGAAAAAGTGTTCATTTTAAAACAACTGAAAGAGTGTAATTGGATTGTTTGTAACTCATTGGATAAATGCCTGAAGGGATGGGTAATTCATTCTTTTGGATGTGCTTAATTCACATTAAATTAAACGCCTGTATCGAAACATCTCACGTACTCCATAAATACATGACAGATAACATCTTTAATGACCAGACTTCTGGGTACTTTTTTGTGACATTGAAGTTCTCTCCTTCTACTTGACAAAGAAATAATACATGAGCAGTTTATAATTATGTTGTATAACAGAAACAAGGAATATTTGGTAAAAAGCTAGGGTAAGCAAGCAAAAATAATGTGCCCACAAAAATTAAAAATTAAAAAAAAATGCATGCTTATATTCTTTTAGTCTTAACTATTTAAATACGTAGTTATTTGGACATTGTTGTTATTCAGTTGCACGAGTGCTTTATACATTCTGGATACTAATCACTTGTTGGATGTATGATTTGCAAATATTTTCTCCCATTTCATAGGCTGCCTATTTACCCTGTGAATAGTTTTCTTTGCTGCACGGGAGTTATTTTAAATTGGATATTATTCCATTTCTCTTATGTGCTTTTTTTTCCTGTAGTTTGGGTGTTATATCCAATCAATCATTGCCAAAACCAGTGCCATGAAACTTTTCCTCTGTTTTCTTCTAGGAATTTTACAGTGTCATGTCTCACATTTAGGTGTTTAAGCCATTTTGAGATCATTTTTTTGTATATGATGTAAAATAAGGATGGAACTTCATTTTTTCCATATGAATGTCTTGCTTGCCTAACAATTTGTTGAAGAGACAATCTTTCCCCATTGTGTAGCCCTGACACCCTTGTTAACAAACATTTGATCATATATGTGAGTACTCATTTCTATGCTCTTTATTGTGTTCCACTGGTCTGTATATCTGTTCCATGCCAGAACTGCATTGGTTTAATTACTGCAGCTTTATAATATATTTTTTAATCAGAAAATATAAAGCCCCCAGTTTTTCTTTCTCAAGACTGTTTTGGCCTTTCATGGTGCTTTGAGATTCCATATGCGTTTTAGGATGGTTATGCATTGTTACTTTACTAATTTTCAAATATATATTGGAATTGACAGGACGGGGAAAATCAAATTCTAACTGTTTTATGACAATGCCTTGGCTATTCAATGTTATAGAAAGATTGAAAATTCTTCAAAGCTGCAATGCTGGCTGGGCACTTTGTCATCTTCTTGTAGATCTAACTACTCAAGATACTGATGAGGGAGGATGATTTGGAGGCCAGGAGTTCAAGATTGTAGCACACTTTGTGCTTGCCTGTGAATAGCCACTGCATTCCAGTCTGGGCAACGTAATGAGACCCTGCCTCTAAAACCAAAAACAACGAAAGAAACAAAAAACATAAAACAAAGCTGCAATACTCTCTGCAAGACCCAGTTTCTTGCATTATTGTTTGATTGCATTTTCATACTAGAATGAAACATTCTAATGGACCAATTTAGAACTCACCTTAATATTTGCTACAATTATCAATTTTTACAATCATTTCTATTATTCCATAAAATAAGTAGCAACTGTAACATAAATGAAAGCTTCATATTAGCTCTCCTTATTCAATGCTACTAAAACAAAACTGTCCTGTCTTCTAACTTTCTTCTCTATTCTATATAGGTCTAGAAGTTTGTTTTCTCACTAAAAAAGCTTACCCACATTGAGCATTCTGCTATTCTTTTTTTCAATTTTATTTTATTTTATCTTTTTTAATGGAGTCTCGCTCTGTCACCTAGGCTGGAGTGCAGTGTCACGATCTTGGCTCATTGCAACCTCGAGCTGCCGAGTTCAAGTGATTCTTCTGCCTCAGCCTCTAGAGTAACTGGGACTACAGGCACATGTCAACGCGTCCAACTAACTTTTTGTATTTTTAGGAGAGATGGGGTTTTACTGTGTTAGCTAGGATAGTCTCAATCTCCTGGCCTTGTAATCCACCCGCCTTAGCCTCCCAAAGTACTAGGATTACAGGCATGAGCCACAACACCCAGCCTCAACATTATTTTTTTAATTAACATATTTATGAAATAGGATAAGCATATGAAAAGAGTACAATAAAATAATAAATTATTTTATACTTAAACAGATGTGTTATTATTTGGCACATTTGCTCAGTATTTATTTTGTTAAATAAAATAAAAATTAGATTAATACCTTAACCTATTTATCAATTTTTGTATCTCCTTACATGAAGGTTGCTATTATACTAAAGGGAATGTATGTAATTTTCCAGTATTTTAATACTTTTACTGTGTTATATATATATATATATATATACACATTCAAATAATAGCTACCATTTACTGACACATTACCATGGTCCAGATACTATGCTAAATAATTTATGTGCATTAACTCATTAAAATGCTATGCTTATCCCATGCAAAAGTTATTACACTGTCGTCATTTTAAAGATAAATACTTGGGATATAGTGTCATTTTTCTCTAGTTTTGAAAGTTTCAGATTTCATACATTCTTTTTCAATCTTTCTTTTTTCATTCAAACTGCAGTTTATATTTTTATAGCTTGGAAAATGTAAATCATTTATTTTAACATGGGAATAAACCATAAATGTTTACCTATTTCCTTACAATGGAAAATTAAGTCATTTGAGAACTCCACCATTGCAAATAGTGTTTTGTCCATGTGTACATTGTGCATATGCTTGAAAGTTAATTTAACATAGAAACTGGAAGTTATTAGTATTATTTAGCCTAGATGTGCCGTTGCTAAATGGAGGCAACACACTTTACTGTAAATAAATAAACGTTTAACATTTAACCTATATTGTTCCAGTTCTACTTGAGAACATAATCCTCTTCTCTTTCTTTAGAATGTACAGCATCAAGATGAATGTGGATTTTTATGTCTTCCTTGTTGCTGTGGAATGTCCATCTTTGGAACTGACCCAGTATAAATGGCTGGTGCAAGCTGATACTGCAGCCTTCTTGTGTCAACGTAATTTACATTGACCTTGGTTTTAATTTTGGTAGCTGGACACTCCTTGCACGTGGATGTGATAAAAGCAGCTGTGAACCAGGCCTCCCAATGAGGTAAAATGCTTTATCATAGTATTTCTTGTCCCATAATCTTCTGTAAAGCCAATTATGCATAATGTTAGATTAAAGCCTATGTGTCACCTGTGCCTGATTGCCAGTTTGCAACTGTAACAATTGACACTGGTTGGGCCACTAAGTATTACTATATTTTTTCTTCAGCGCTGTTCTACTAGTAGTACTCAGGACACTAGTAATTATTAAACTTTTTTCTCTAAATCTATTGCAACAATACTATGCCATTAAATATATGGCATTATTTTCTCTATATCTTTATCAACACCTGTTTCTGAATTTTTTTTGCACTTTGCAAATCTGGTTGCATATCATATTACCTCATTTTGTATGTAATTTGCATTTAACTAATTACAGTGGAATTTTATGTTCCCGCTTGTATTTTATTGTCCACTGGGGGTTTTGTGATACTAATCATTCATATACTTTGCTCGTGTCTCTATGGAGCTATTTTCATATTGATTTTGAAGAGTTCTATATATATTCTGGACTTGCTTTATCAAAGAAAGCCACGAAGGTAAGAAGGAGAGAGAAGGAGTAATAAAAGTCACAGTCTTATAGTCTAATATCAGAATTAACAGTTCATCACTTTCACTATATTCTATTCATGACAATCAAGTCACCATGTCCACACATCTCAAGACACACACATACATACACACAGGGGTACAGAGGTATGAATGAGAGGAGGCAGGGATCATTCAGAGACATTTCAGAACTTACCTCCCACACCTCACTTACAATCTCTAGTTATCAAAGAGATGATCATCCCCTTGCATCTCTACATGCAAACAGAAAGGAAAGGAAGAACAATTACATCAACAACTCAATACAAACTTTTTAAACATAATGATCTGTAGTATCCCAACCTGGAGTCCTTCCATGGAATAGTTATAACTAGATGATGGGAGATAATAGAAATTTTCTTATGTTTATGTACTTTGCACTGATAATGGTGCATTCCATAGATAGGCTATGGTTTAAATGTTTATATAAAACCTTCAATCCCTCTCTTTACCTATGCTTCCTTAAAGCATCTCTCCGCAAGTGATTCTATGGTGCTGCCTATCTAATCGAGACCTTTGGTAGTACCATATTTGGTTTTCAAATTATCCTACCATGATAATATGGAATAAGGATATTACTTTTCCATTGTAACTCACTGAAGGCAGGTGATGCTAAATAAAAAAAAAGTTTATTATTTTAGTTTTTTCGTTGTCCTTTTGGCAGATGTATGTTTATTCTTTTATTTTGTAAATGGATCTACTTGGCTCTGAAGCACTATTAGATTCATGGTTGTATTTTATTCCTCAAATTTCTATTTTGGGAAACTGGTAATCAAAGCTCTTGGGAGATACCTTTCTTCTTTGCACACCTACATTGATTAGCTGTTTCAGCTTTTATGTAAGCACAAAATGTAGAACATTAAGAGACTGTCACCCACCAAAAGATGTTATTTTAAGTTTCTTCTTTTATTTTTATCTCAGTAATAGTCAAAAACTCTCTTCACTTTTTTCTTAACCATCAGCCATGAAAGGTTGTTTCTTTTCTCTTTTGCCTTAAAGTCTCAAGAGTAGAGATTTTGTCCCTGCCTTAGGAATGGTTGATAAAAGAGATTTTCATCCATTGTGAAGCTCTGAGGACATGACCTGTTCTCTGCTTCTATGGAACAAGGTGATTCAATTCTATCATTTATAGTTGAGGTGACTGACAATGGAAATTATAGTTTCCCTTTTTAGGGTAACTAAATGTTTGACTCCTTCCTTCTTCCTCTTTCTCTGTGTAGGTGGTGTGTGTTCGTATACACACACATACACACACACACACACACACATATATATAAAATCTGTGTACATGCGTTTATATATATATATATATACATGCTTATATATATATTTATATACACACACACACAGTAATAAGAATACATCACTTCTCAGGACAAAAATTAAGAAACTGAAAAACTATCAGGCAGAACACCATATGCTTTCCATCTTCTTTTTTTTTTTTAGCCTTTAAGTTTAGGAGTACAAGTGCAGCTTTGTTACACAGGTAAACTTCTGTCATGGGCATTTGTTGTGCAGATTATTTTTTCACCCAGGTATTAAGTCTAGTACTCACAAGTTATTTTTCTTGATCCTCTCTCCCCTCCTACCCTTCACCTTCCGATAGGCCCCAGTATGTGTTGTTCCCCTCTATGTGTCCACATGTTCTCATCATTTAGCTCCCACTTATAAGTGAGAACATGTGGTATTTGTTTTTCTGTTCCTGTGTTAGTTTGTTAAGTATAATGGCCTCCAGCTCCATCCATGTCCCTGCAAGAGATATGCTTTCATTTTTTTTGTAGCTGCATAGTATTCCATGGTGCATATGTACCAAATTTTCTTTATCCAGTCTATCACTGATAGGCATTTAGGTTTATTCCATGTCTTTGCAGCCTTCTTTTTGTAACTTATAAATGATCTCTGAGTAAATTGATGGCATAAGCCTTGCAGTGCCCTGTACTCAGAAGCTTATTAAACCCATCTTCTTTTGCAGATGACCAAACCTTGAAGCAAGGATTTCCCGAAGATCTTCCCAGAAATCAGTTTTATGTTTATATAATAACAGTAACTCGTGTGTCTTGATTACACAGATTTCGTCTTGGACACATCTAAATTTAAAAATAAATCTTGCACAGAGCCAACTTCTGGTTCCCTCAATTCACAGACTGAAGAACATCTAATCAGCAAATTCATTGAACTGTAAGTTTAGATCTGAACAAAGCAAGCAGGGATGAACATGTAATTGTGAGACTGAGTCATTACTTCAGTATTAAAGTATGACTACCAAGCCTCTGGCAGCTTTCCTCTTTCTCGAAACAGGCACAAATCCTTAGCGGCTTATCATTCAATGATCATCCTGGGCCATGGTTTGGTAATCTAGAACCAGGTCATCAGTACAATGATAACATCAATGTTATCATTCCATAACACACAGCAATACTTTCCCTCCTTTAATCACTGCCATGGAGAAACAAAATAAATATTTCCCAGATATCTAAGCCCTTTTACTCTATGCCTATGGTTTGCCTATGGTTTCCTAGTATTTTAAAGCTCAAAACCTGTATTATATATTTTACCTATTTGGGGATACAAAATAATAACCTAACTCCTTACGATATACTTAAATTTTATCCAACCTTCCATAAGGAAGAAAAAACAAGCTTGATACTCCCCAAATAGACCTACTTTGTGAAATTATATTCAAAGTAGCAATAGTGTATCTCTTTTCAGCTGTTTGCCAGAGTCAATTTAGAGAATGAAGTATGTTACCTTGGACTGTCATGGCTGATTCTTTGAAAAGGGCTAAACTTGCTCCGGTTGTGAAGATGACAGCAGGAACTTTGCCTAGACCTTCCATTCATTTTGCCATGTTTTCTGATACTGCAGTGACTATGGATACCTAAATTGTGCCTACCATTGCTCTGTCATTTCCAGTAAGAGATAATGTACCCAAAGGAACTGTTTCTAGATATCTGAAACACCTGCCAGAAGGGCACCATAACATCTTACTTTTAGCACAATTCTAAATTATGGGATTTAACAAAGATATTCTAAAAATGTGAAAAAGGAAGTTGAAAACAGCTTGTTTGAAGGAAACAATGAGAAAAAAATCAACAAGCAACTTTTCTTTGTTGTTCAAATATTTCAATAGTTTTTTACACAAGTATTACAATATGTTGTCATAGTCTATTATATATCACACTCAACACCACTAAACTATAAGTTTTGGAGTACAGGGATAATGTCTTACACTTGAATTTGCAGACACTGGCAAGACACAAACGCCTAATCCATGGTCAATAAATAATGGCTAAATAAATTCATAAATATGTGTAGAATTCATTTTTCTTCACTTCCTCTTTTTATATAATACCAAAAGCTTCTGCCAAGCATGCTATTTTACTTCATTTTGTAATTTTATCATTTTACATTACTTTTGTATTGATTCTTCCAGTCAATCTAAGAATGGTTTACTTTCTGTTTAAGCCTAAGATGATACAAGTTACATAAGAATTTTTAGTCGTTTCTCCAGTTTGTCTTCTTTGGACAAGTGGGGAAGAGCATTTTGTTATAAACAACGTTCAACATTTTACTTCTGAACTGCCAAATAAATAAATAAATATCCTAGAACAATTTTTACATTCTAAGCACTAGTTAAGTGCATTCTTTATATAAAAATATATTTAATTCTCACAACCACCATATGCAGTAGGTATAATTAACAATTATTCCAAATTATAATCATAGGTGTAGGAAAGTTTTAAATTGTATACTTGTGCATAAGTAATTTATATACATCTTTAGATATATACCAGTTATAAACAGATTCTGGCTTCATACACTTTCACACATATATAAGCAAAAACACTGATTCTACTGTAAACATCAGCACCTGGGTACATCATAAATAAGAATCTTACCCCCTTGGGAATTAAAGAAATCTCAGAATAGCAGCTGCAGAGATCTATGGCCATATGTACTCTACCAAAAGTCTGCATTTAATTTATAAATAAATTACTCATATTATTTACATGCTACAAAATGGGAAGGAAATCTTCCATTTTGTAGGCAATTATGTTATAATAGAAAAGATTTTATCGCCATCTTGAAATAAATGCATACAAATAATTGCTCATGTACATTTTTAAAAATTGAACAGCTTCTTTCTATCTTTCAGAAATGTTGCAAGATAATGGTTAATGTTACTTGATATTATGAGTTACTTGATATTATTTTTCATAGTTATTACAAAATAAGTATATATTTAGGTACATATTACAATTTAAGAATGCACTTAGCTAGTGCTTAGCATGTAAAAAATGTTCTAGGCTATTTATTTATTTATTTGACAGTTTGGAAGTAAAATGTTGAATGTCGTTTATAACAAAATGCTCTTCTTTCAAGCTCAATATCATTACAAAGAAATTTCAGAACAGGTTTGGCTGAGATTAGGAATTTGATAAATCATCATTATTAATCAATTTAATTCAGTTATCCGGGTATCTTGCCTCATTTTTAAAATGAGATTTTAGAGGGTCAGTGGTTTTATGCTTTTATTTTGACAAATTATAATCGTATATGTTTGTGAAGTACAAAGCGATGCTGTGATATATGTATATAATGTGGAGTAACTGAATCAAGCTAACTAACTGTCCATCACCTCAAATACTTACCATTTATCTTTCCTGTGTAAATGAAACATTGCACCCTTTGACCAACATCTTCCAATTCACTCCAACTCCCAGACTCTGGTAATCAGCACTGTTTTCTGCTTCTAAGAGTTTTATTGCTTTAGACTGCACATATAAATGTGAACACATGGTATTTGTCTTTCTGTGAAGAACTTAATTCCCTTAGCATCATGTCCTCCAGGTCCATGCTTGTTGTGGCAAATGACAACATTTCCTTTGGGTATATATACCTAGAGTGTGCTTGTTCGATCAAATGTTACTTTTTTCAAACTTGTTTGAGGAAAATCTCCACACAGTTGTCCTCAGTGGCTGTACCAGTTTACATTCCCACTGGCTGCGTTCAGGGTTCCCTTTACTCCACAACCTTATTAGCATTTCTTATCTTTCTTTTTGATAATGGTCATTCTGACAGGTATTAGGTGATAAATTATTGTGGGTTTAATTTGCATTTTTCTAAATGAATAATGATGTTAAAGGAGAGCACAGCCTCTCAAATTTCAACTAGGCAATTCTAAATTATTAGATGTACTTGATTGATATCTGTTAGCCACTCGTATATCATTTTGTGAATTATATCATAGATCTGTTAGCCATTTGTGTGTTTTAAGAAATGTCTATTAAGGTCATTAGCTCATTTGAAAATTGGGTTGTTTTATTGGTATTGAGTTGTTTATTATATATTGGATAATTACCACTTATCACATTTTTTGGTTGACAAATATTTTCTCCCATTCTGTAGATTGTCTTTAATTTGTTAATTGTTTTCTTTTCTATGCAGAAGCTTTTTAGTTTGATGTAATCCAATTTGTCTACTTTTGCTTTTGTTTTCTGAGCTTTTGGAGTCTGAGCCAAATAAACAATAACCCAGACCAATTACGTGTAGCTATTTCTGTTCATTTTCTTCTCTAGTTTTAGTTTCAGGTCATGTGTTTAATGCTTTTTTTTTTTTTTTTTTTTTTTTCCAGGTAGGGTCTGGTTCCAAAGTCCAGGCTGGAGTGGTGCAGTGTCATGATCTCAGCTTACTGCAACCTCCACCTCCTGGACTCAAGCCATCCTCCCACCTCAGCCTCTCAAACAGTTGGAACTACAGGTACATGCCACCACGCTGGGCTTATTTTTTCTTTTCTTTTTTTTTGAAATGGAGTTTCACTCTGCTGCCAAGGCTGGAGTGCAATGACACCATCTCAGCTCACTGTAACCTCCACTTCCTGGACTCAAACCATCCTCCCACCTCAGGCTCCTATATAGCTGGGACTGCAAGGCACATGCCACTATGCCAGGCTAATTTTTATATTTCTTGTAGAAATGGCGTTCTGACATGTTGTCCAAGCTGGATTCAAATTCCTGGACTCAAGCAATACACCCTCAGTTCCCAACATGCTGGGATTATAGGTATGAGCCAAAGTGCTCCATTTGCTTAACTCTTTAATCTATTTTAATTTTTGTATATTGTTTAAGATAAGGGTCCAGGTTTTTTTTTTTTTTTTCTTCTTCTCCCTGTGGTTACTCAGTTTTCCCAACATCTTTCATTGAAGAGACTGTTCTTTTTCCATTGGATCATCTTGGCATCTGTCAAAAATTAATGGACCATTAAAACAAGTGGTTTGTTTTTGTACTCTCTAGTCTCTTCATTGCACAATGTGTTAATTTTTATGCCAGTCCTATACCCTTTTAATTACAATAGCATTGTAATGTCGTTTGAAATGAGATAGTGTGATGGTTCCAGCTTTGCTCTGGTTTGAGAAGGATTGGTATTAGCTCTTCTGTAAATGTATTGTTTTCACCAAGGAAGCCATCAGTTTTGGGGTTTTTCTTTGATGAGATACTTTTTACTACTGATTCAACATTTTTGCTCATTATTAGTCTGCTTATATTTTCTATTTTTTTATGATTCAGTCTTGGTAGATTTTATACGTCTTGGGATTTATTCACTTCTCTTACAGAATGCTTGGGGTGTCGCTTCACCAGCCGGAAACTCCTCTGGCCAGTGCCACCTTCAGCTTGACTATTTATTGTGTCCACTGGGCTTGTTCCACCCACTCCGCATGGCACGTTGTGCTTGGCTCATGCTACCGGCCTGAATCCCATACCTACCAAGGACAAGCCAGGTACCCAGCAGCAAGGAGTGTGTGAGCGAGAGAGCGTGGGGTCCGGCCACTGCACGCAGGCAGGTATGCTGGCTGCTGTGGCGGGGAAGGCAGCTCCAGGTGCTGGCACAGGCACTGGCTCCACGTGAGGCTGCAGCTGGACCAGATACATAGCAAACAGCTTCCGCTGTGGGCACTAGCATCTGGACAAGGGGAATGTAATGGCACCTGAATGCTCAGAGATGCTAGAAACTGCAGAGCCCCAAAGAGGGTGTTAAAACCCTGGCTTGGGGAGCCCGTAGGTCTGGACTCCCCAGAGGGCCTCAGCTCTTCTCTCTTTCTTATTGAGTGCATTGTGGTGAACAGAGAGGCATCTCAGCCCTGTTTGTGTTACAGTTCTCTCAGTCCTGCCAACTGGCTG